TCATGGTTATATGTCAGAGGATTCTTGGTTATATGTCAGAGGATTCATGGTTATATGTCAGAGGATTCATGGTTATATGTCAGAGGATTCATGGTTATATGTCTGAGGATTCATGGTTATATGTCTGAGGATTCATGGTTATATGTCTGAGGATTCATGAATATATGTCAGAGGATTCATGGTTATATGTCAGATGATTCATGGTTATATGTCAGAGGATTCATGGTTATATGTCAGAGGATTCATGGTTATATGTCTGAGGATTCATGGTTATATGTCTGAGGATTCATGGTTATATGTCTGAGGATTCATGGTTATATGTCTGAGGATTCATGAATATATGTCAGAGGATTCATGGTTATATGTCAGATGATTCATGGTTATATGTCTGAGGATTCATGGTTATATGTCTGAGGATTCATGGTTATATGTCTGAGGATTCATGGTTATATGTCTGAGGATTCATGGTTATATGTCTGAGGATTCATGGTTATATGTCTGGTTATATGTCTGAGGATTCATGGTTATATGTCTGAGGATTCATGGTTATATGTCTGAGGATTCATGGTTATATGTCTGAGGATTCATGGTTATATGTCTGAGGATTCATGGTTATATGTCTGAGGATTCATGGTTATATGTCTGAGGATTCATGGTTATATGTCTGAGGATTCATGGTTATATGTCAGATGATTCATGGTTATATGTCAGATGATTCATGGTTATATGTCAGAGGATTCATGGTTATATGTCTGAGGATTCATGGTTATATGTCTGAGGATTCATGGTTATATGTCAGAGGATTCATGGTTATATGTCAGAGGATTCATGAATATATGTCACAATACATTCTGTCGCAAGCAAGACTTTGAGATTAACACTTGCCTCAGGTGACACGTTTGGCCCGAGCTGTGTAGCAAATCCCACCACCCAATCCCCCAATTGGATTATCCATTAAGCATAAGCGCGCACACCAGACACACCTCCATCCAATATGGATTTGATTGCCTCTATATTGGAATTAAATAGTGGGTTTGCTTAACTGTATAGCGACCTTCAGCTCGGTAGAACTGGTGCTTGTGGATTTAGTAGTCGGTGGTTTGGACCTAGGATTGTGCCTGCAGCATATTGGGATCTGAACGAGAGGGGGGCATAATAGGAATGGGGAGGGGGCAGAATAGGAAGGGGGGCAGAATAGGAAGGGGGGCAGAATAGGGGGGGGCAGAATAGGGGGTGGGGGAGCTTCTTAAAATCACTGTCACTTCTGTAGAGAGATAGTGAACGAGTCGCAACCATCAGCTCCGTATGGCGTAGTAGTGCCATTTCGATTCAAATGCAAAGGATACGTATGACGGAGATCACGACACTTTCTAATAAAGTTAACGAGAAAAATACCAGACATCACCGTTGCCTATATGCATGATGGGGAAAATGAAAGCAAGTACAAATGGCAGATGTTTAGGTTCCTCAAAGTCGGACGAACAACACTAGTTTTCCGTGGACTGAAATAAAGGAGTGAAAATGACCACAGTTGTTTTTCGGGGATCTTCGGTCCTGAACGTGTTCGTGCAGAACTGTTGGGTTGTTGGCACACAGAGATTAATCAGTGTCCGGGGAGAGGAGGAGGAATTTATTCAAGTCCGGATTGAACTGTCGGATAGAAGTGTCCTCTATGTGCACAGGACGGACCGCGATGTGGAAAGACTTCTAAGGAAACTTATGGATGCCTTCCCAGAAGATGGAGGAAGATTTGCTCAGGCAGCGCTCCTAGATGGTAGGTTATGAAGATATGACCCATAACAATAGATGTTAGGTTATGGAAATATGACCCATAACAACTCGCCGAGAAAAAAGGATAATGTTCCATGTCGATGGAGGTTATAGGTTATGTGAATAAAAAAAGTTGCAGCGCAGTCTACCAGAGCTGTGACACAATGTTGGTTTGTTGTCTTTGTACTCATGCACATTGGATTTGAAACCAAACTATTTTAAGAGATTGTGGTGCAGACTATCCGCTTCTATGGTATTCACATCTATAAACCTTGTCATGAACTGTCAGAATTTAAAATCGTTTTTATAGATACACCACAGTATCTATGTGGAACAGTGAAAATTTAGATTTTGGATCACATCACCCAGAGGCAGCATTTATAGTGAAAACAATAATGGTGACAAAATCGAGCCTTGAGGAACACCAAAATATACCTTGGATTTTGTGGGAGTACAGGCCATCCACACAGACTAACTGTAATCTTTCTGTTAAATTAGATGTATAACAGGCAATAACATTTCCTTGCTGTTCTAATGGACAGCTTGACACATGTTGTCTAACACATCTTGTCAGACATCAGCAACCGACTCAAATGTAAACATAAAGACACGATTAATAAGTGACACGGTTCAACTATGTACTAACCATGCTGTTATTTCAAAATGTTCAATTCAATTTGAATGAAAATACTCACAAATGTAAGCATATGATCGTCGTTATATTTCACTCTCTAATTTCCCCCTCTCTCTGAAACTCCCGAAATGTCCTAAAACACGACTGTGAAAGTACAACCCAATACTTCCTGTCCACGTTTTCCCCTCAAGGGCTTGTGAGAATCAGAGAAGCCGTAAAGGCCAATGACCTGGAGAGACGATTGCTAGAGGTGGAGAAGCTTCTCCGGAGTGCAATCACCTTGCCCATGAAGGTGGATATTAATATATATTATGAATATATATCTATATAGACATGAATGCCTCTGGCATGTTGATAGCTGACACACATTTGGGTAAATACGCTCTGTAGATGCTTAGTGTTGTATATGATGTTGTTTCTTCTTTAACCTCCCCAAGTGGGCTGTGTCCCACCCTCACCTTTGACCTTTTGCTCTGTCTACAGTACTCACGGTCTGGAGCGGTGCTCACGTTCTTTGAGCAATCCCCTCTGGACAGGATGATTAGAGAGAACGACTTCAGCAACGTAGAACCGTACTACCAATGTCCAGTAACGATATCAGGTGAAACATTTTGGGTTCACAATTGTCTTTCGTTGTTAACCTTTGTCGATTTCTTGTTTTTGTTTAGCCAATTTCAAAAGTCACGATCAAATGTCTGAAAACCTTGGTAAAGGTCTGAATTACTGAACATTGCAACTGAAGCAAAAAACACCAAAGGCAAAATGTCCAGCTCGGCCATTGTGAACCTGGTTGACGTGCGGCCCGTGGCACACTGACATCGTCCGGGAGTCCCTGATTCCCGGGTAATTGGCTTTGTACCACAGGGTTGGTGCAAGGAACGCTGGACAGAGTGGCCTTTGTCAGCTGGTACCCAGTTGTGGCAAGTTGGGTTGCCTAACAGCTCAACGAGGGACGCACGTTTTGGCATACCTGTTTAACCGAGCTTTGTGATAGGCCTTGGGGTATGTTCCTTACCGTCCACTTCTCATTGTTTCTTGAGAGTGTACGATGTCTGTTGTCTTTGTTTTACAGACATCATGAGGTGCAATGGGTTTTGCCTGGCCAACACAGAGACGGTTTTCTACGATAACTGTGTACCTCCGGATAGAGAGAGAACTCTGCCTGTGTCCACATTTACAGAGTCTGCAGGGTTTGCGTGAGTCATCAGTCATTTCTCCTTTTGTTATATTCACTGACAGGTTCATTTGATTTCATGGGTTATTCTACAGTTCAGTAGTGTAAAAATGGTAATGTATGTTACGTTATTGGTAATCGATGAAAAATGTGTAGGAAAAGTTTACTTACAATAAAGTGGCATTGTTTTTAATAGTTCAATCTTAATCTTCTGGCATACTAGATGTTAACTACTGTGGGTCGTTTTCTTAATTTTATTCCCTTCTCGATATCTTTGTTGAACTAATCACCAACCATTGACATGCAAGTTATTGCAGAGTATTTAATTGTTCTCAACTGTCTTTCAGCTATAACACTCAGTCTGTTCTTAAAGAGAGCCTGGACCTTATTGAGACAGCATCAGTGGAAGATAGTGCCGAAGACCAAGAATCGCCTTTCCCTACATTAACCTACTACCAACTGTTGACATATGAGACAGATATTCTGGAATAAAAGAGGTGGCTGCCATGTTGCTCGAGTCTATACTGTCATGACACATGTGACGACACCCATGACAACACCCATGGCGACTGCCCTGAAACACGTGACGACACCCATGACAACTGCCCTGACACCCATGACAACTGCCCTGACACACGTGATGACTGCCCTGACACATGTGACGACACCCATGACGACTGCCCTGACACACGTGACGACTGCCCTGACACGCGTGACGTCACCCATGACAACTGCCCTGACACCCTTGACGACTGCCCTGACACCCGTGACGACTGCCCTGACACACGTGACGTCATCCATGACAACTGCCCTGACACACATGACGACTGCCCTGACACACGTGACATCACCCATGACAACTGCCCTGACACACGTGACGACTGCCCTGACACACGTGACGTCACCCATGACAACTGCCCTGACACCCGTGACGACTGCCCTGACACCCGTGACGACTGCCCTGACACACGTGACGTCATCCATGACAACTGCCCTGACACACATGACGACTGCCCTGACACACGTGACGTCACCCATGACAACTGCCCTGACACACGTGACGACTGCCCTGACACACGTGGCGTCACCCATGACAACTGCCCTGACACACGTGACGACTGCCCTGACACACGTGACGTCACCCATGACGACTGCCCTGACACACGATCACTCCTGCTGTGGTACCTTTAAGATTTTTCTTTTACAATGAACTGATACATTTTCTGAACTGATTAACCAATATGCAATGTTTTATCAAGTTATATGTAGCATTACACTGATGACTAGTGTAGTTTGATTAGATAAAATACCAGATGTGTTTTCTCCACAGTGCAGGAATCAACTTACATGAATGGGTTTAAGTCATGACATTTTACTAAATTATTGAGGGTGTTGTTGACGAATATGTTGGTAGCTGAGTGAGGAGTTGATATCTCAGTGGTAGAGTGCACGCTTTATATGTATGATGTCCTTGGTTCAATCCCCAGCTTCTCCCCAGGTCGCTGTTGCAAATAAGAATTTGTTCTCAATCGGCCTACCTGGTTAAATAATGGTTAAATTAAAATGTAAAAATGTTCAACGATAGGGCACATGCTTCCGAAGTCACTTCCAAAGTGTACTCCAACTGTACATCTTACTGGCGTATATTTGACTCTCATACCAGAAACTTAAAAAAGTATGTGTGAAGTCTTCGTATTTCTAATCTGAATCGGTGCCACGTTAATAGAGTTCTGGCTGCCCAACACTGCCATCTACTGGCTGTAACAGTATGAAGGTATTTTTGAGTCAAATCTCCTGAACGCCTGTGACATAGCAATTTGTAGTTGTAGAGAAAAGCCACACATGTGTATCAGCGATTTGTAGTTGTAGAGAAAAGCCACACATGTGTATCAGCGATTTGTAGTTGTAGAGAAACTGTTGTGTTGTGTTTGTGGGTGAGAAAAAAAGTCTACAAGTTTGAAACTCTTTAAACATTTTTCTCTGTGACTTCAAATTTACTGATACACATGTGTGGCTTTTCTCTACAACTACAAATTGCCCTGTCACAGGCGTTCAGGAGATTTGACTAAAAAATACCTTCATATAACAGCCCTTGGTTATTAGAAGTCCAAATCCAAGAGTCCAAATCCAAATACTGTGGCACTGAGAAAACTATAGAAAATTTATGCTAAATAAGGTCAATAACTAATAACATAGGATATCTGTACCTGTCACATATATACGTTGTACATCAATTTAGGATAAGAATTTGAATTGGCATTATATTCTAACACCCAGGTTACATTACATTAGCTTATGTTATAATAGACCATTAGCTACCGTACCTCATTCCGCTTACAGAGGGTGTTAAATAAAACAGAGTTAACGTGTAATTTAAATTGTAAAAGTAAAACTATAGTCTGCTTTAGCCATTTATTGGCCATTAAGCATTAACAACAAACCAGAGGTCCCTTGGATGTTTTTTGTAACGCATTTACACCCAAACATCCTGCCAGTACACTATTTGTTCTCTAATAGTTAATTGCTAATTTTATTTACTGAAAGAAACGTCAGAGAAATAACACAGTGTTTCAGGATGTTTCTGTCTGCAGTAATAGGTTAACCAATACAAATTTTTTACCTGATCTATCCTTGGCTTATTAACATAAATATTGTATAGTTTATTGAAATTAAAGGTTATGTTGTAATGGATTCTCAGTTTAGCCCCTACTTTAATTTTGTGTAACGTTGTCAGGTAGTGGCCTTTTGCATACAGGTCATACAATAATGTACTGACAAACCTGTACAACATTATCCTATGTATATCATATATATATTATATAAGCCAACAAATGAATGAACACATTTTTCAGACAGTGTTAAAAAAAATGTATCTGTATTTCAAATCTTAAGTGCTTCTCTTTGATAGGCGCATAGTCTATGTTTTTACTGTTTACTTGTTTATATTCTCTAACTCCTGCTCTTTATGTGACCAATGTCAACCAGCAGGGGGCAGCCTACTCCACTGTTTTCCCCAGTGCATTTACCTGCCAGGCTGTTAGTCACGATTCTTCTGGAAGTTCCAGAGGCTTTGAACAGATTACTAAATCTCAATAAAACACTAATTTAATTTTCGATTCTAAACATGTTTAATGTTTGATTCAGGTACCCTCCAAAAAAGTTTTGCAAAGTTCGCTTGACGGTAGTGGCAGCAGATGCCAACCTCTGGTTTAGAATACGTCCCCTTGATGTTTCGTATTAAAGCTGCTCAACGTGGACATTTAGTAGTTATCATTGTACCAACACTGAATAATACATGCAGTGGGATCATGTTAAAAACCTGTGCACTTCAAAACACTACCCACCTGCCTTCTGGGGGAGTGGACTCTGTGGGATGAAAGGACGTGATGTTAATACGCAGTTAATGTGTTCGGAGCTCCACTGTCACACTATTGGAATTCAGAGTCATGCCTGAGTTCAAACAATATGTGAAATATTTCCGACACGCAAAGGTGCTAGGAGTGCGTCGCTACTTATTTTTGAAGAATGATTGAAAAATCAAACGCCTGCTCTTCTGCTGGTACCTTCCGATCCAATGAAAACGTGTAATGTTAAGCTCAATAAATGGCGGAGGACCTGGAGCTCATAGACCTGTTTATCTGCAGCTGTCGGAGAATAAACACCCTGTGCGCTTGACGCTATGTTTATTAGACACTCGGTGAACAGTCAAATAATCCTTTCAGAGAACTTTAGTGGGAAATAGGTAGTTTAAGTCATTTTCCACATTTGACTCCAGAAACGGAGACCAGTGATGAATCAGTAGGCCTACTTGACTATTTTATTTACCTAAATCTTTACAACAACCATGTGTATGGGAAAGTAGATCAGTGTTTTCCAACCCTGTTCCTAGAGAGCTACTGTCTCCAATCCCATGTGAAAGCAGCTTCATTAAAGGCAGCTTTATTACTGACTAATAAGGGTTAGAGTGAAAACGACCAGGTCAGTTGCTCTCTAGGAGCGTGGCTGGACACCTTTGATGTAGAGGACTCACGCTTTAAGGTTTCTGCATTACAATGCAATAACCGAGACAGACTCATAAGCTATTGGCCTCACCTGGTGTGAGACAGAGTGGATGGGAAGGTTGACAGTTTTACTTGCTAAAAGCTAATTTTGATGCTGGTTGTGTATATTAGTTCCAGAATTCAGCGATACATGTTTATTCTAAGTTAACAAAGAGGTTAACTCCCTGTCAGGGAGAACTAGAGCCTCTGATGAAGTTGGCAACATGATTCTGACGCGTTGCCAACATCCGGCGCAGAAACAGTTGTATTCCCAGTGGCCGTCCCAAGCGCAATAACCGCCATGCATGGTCGATGCCATCGCAGGTGGAGACAGTTATGAAAGCCTGCCAGACTCCTCTGTTGAATCTGGATAATCCCATTTCTGGGCTGGAGGCAGCTGAGGCCAACTCAACACGCAAGAACCCCAGAGAGTGAACACGGGAGAGATGACATATGTGTGTTATCGCTTGCTGATGGGACTGCAGGCCACTCATCCAGGTTGGCTAGTTCTCTGACTCAAATTGGAGCAAATGTGCGAATCTGGCTGCCACATGCCTGACCTGTACGGAGAGAAACCTGTACCATTTTTAATTCGACTGAACACATTTGCCATTCACCACCACAGTTTTTTGTAGCGAGTACGAAGTATGTAAATACATGCAGCTTTTACCTTAGTCTTCACAAAGTCTTCCCAGCGGCATACGTGTTTCGAGTTTGGGGTTACACATATCTTTCAAGGAAAGTTCAACCAGTTTTCCAAATACCGTCCTCTTTATCCTGGACTCAATGGCTAAGGAGAAACCCCATCAATGTATTTTTTAAATGGGATTATGCAATGGGTTATTTTCTGAGGTAATCTTTTCTTTTAAATGTCAATGCATGTTTCTTTGTACCATGAATGAGTTGCAACCACCAACACAATACTAAGACAACACAATATAGACAATCAATGCTTACCAGACCAAGATAATGGAGCAGTAAGATATCTGGTCAATAGCCTAGAAATGAATCAATCAATATATGTGGAACTAATGGATTTGGCGGCAGTATGTGGATAGTCAGTGGGGAACGTGGGAATCACTGTGAACTCTCGCTGCCTGGGAACATTTTTCTCCCCTTAGATTATTTTGAAGTCAAGTTGTTGAGAAACTAATCGGGACCTGCTGAAAACCGGCGAACCACGAAGGACAATCACATTTCTGTTTTTGTAATGTTTACTTTGTTTTGCCTGTTTTTGAATAAAAACGTCAACGTTGGCAGTTGATAATTCTACCAAAAAATCTGACCAATGTTCGACCATGTTCATGGTCAACATGACCGTGGCCAACCTCATGTCCCTGACCTAGTCGCCCGTCTTCTTCTTTGTGGCCTTCATGCATCGCCGCGGCGCCTGCTTCGTCATGTCCTCCATGATGACTCTGACGGCCATTGTGGTTGATTGGTGCGTGGCGATCACACAGGGGCTGGCCTCGCAGGGTGTCTAACCCTAACCCTGGGATGGAGTCTAACCCTAACCATGGGCTAGAGTCTAACCCTAACCCTGGGCTAGAGTCTAACCCTAACCCTGGGCTAGAGTCTAACCCTAACCATGGGATGGAGTCTAACCCTAACCCTGGGCTGGAGCCTAACCCTGGGCTAGAGTCTAACCCTAACCATGGGCTGGAGTCTAACCCTAACCCTGGGCTGGAGCCTAACCCTAACCCTGGGCTGGAGTCTAACCCTAACCCTGGGCTGGAGTCTAACCCTAACCCTTGGCTGGAGCCTAACCCTAACCCTGGGCTGGAGTCTAACCCTAACCCTGGGCTGGAGCCTAACCCTAACCCTGGGCTGGAGTCTAACCCTAACCCTTGGCTGGAGTCTAACCCTAACCCTGGGCTGGAGTCTAACCCTAACCATGGGCTAGAGTCTAACCCTGGGCTGGAGCCTAACCCTAACCATGGGCTAGAGTCTAACCCTAACCATGGGATGGAGTCTAACCCTAACCCTGGGCTGGAGTCTAACCCTAACCCTGGGCTGGAGTCTAACCCTAACCCTGGGCTAGAGTCTAACCCTAACCCTGGGCTGGAGTCTAACCCTAACCCTGGGCTCGAGTCTAACCCTAACCCTGGGCTCGAGTCTAACCCTAACCCTGGGCTAGAGTCTAACCCTAACCATGGGCTAGAGTCTAACCCTAACCCTGGGCTAGAGTCTAACCCTAACCATGGGCTAGAGTCTAACCCTAACCCTGGGCTAGAGTCTAACCCTAACCCTGGGCTGGAGTCTAACCCTAACCCTGGGCTAGAGTCTAACCCTAACCATGGGCTAGAGTCTAACCCTAACCCTGGGCTAGAGTCTAACCCTAACCATGGGCTAGAGTCTAACCCTAACCCTGGGCTAGAGTCTAACCCTAACCCTGGGCTAGAGTCTAACCCTAACCCTGGGCTAGAGTCTAACCCTAACCCTTGGCTGGAGTCTA